AATGGCGGCTATGCTTTCAATCCATAAAATACAGTTTGTTATGCACATATTATTGTACCATACCAGGGATATTGATGACGTGAATAGAGTAGTTTCCATGAATTTCAAGTTGTCCATCACATTTTCAATGCAATGCCAGTAGTATTGACCATGGAAACTGTTAGGGGGAGGGCACGGAAGGGGCTTCAATGGGTTCGTGTGACCCCAATTGGACAGACAGCTTCGATTACTCACCACATTTTTTTTACAATAACCCAGCAATTTCAATCACACAGACTGATACAATAAACTTACAAGTTAAAACCATCAGGCTATGCAGATTTTATCATAAGCAGAAGGGGTACGCGTCTGTAGCCGGTGGACAGAGCCACAGAATCGACACGCGCCCACGTGCACCGTGGTGTGGTTCTCACGTTCGCATTTGCAGTTCGCGAACGCGTTCGGCGGTGTGACCTCCCAGTGGGGTCGACTTTCTGGGAATCCGCGCCAATTCCGTCACGCATTTGTCACACCCAGGACCCTTGCACTTCTGTCAAACATACGATAGGAGCAGTTGGAATTGCTTTAACACCAATCGGGTGGGTGAACCATGTTTAGCTATACATGATACAGTGTTCCCCGGTCAGCCGATATTTGCCGGAAGACTGTAGGCCCAGAGATCTAATACATCAGGCCTGTTTCTCATGATTACACTGGGCTGTTTGGACAGTATTCGTCCTCCCATTCAACAATGGTAGAAGATATGACAGTTCTGACTTCACAGGCGTTCTCTACGGGTTACAATTCACCTATGTACCAATCCGCTAAGTCACCCGTTACATATTTGTTGAGATTTCGGAGTTCTGTCAAAAATCTGACTTTGACAGAACCCCCAAAATGATAGTATAATCCAAAATTGGAATTCCATGAAACTAGCCTACTACTGAGTCCGCGATTATCCCAGGAAGCGCAGACTGCTCTGTAATTACGATCGCTCTGCGGTCACTGTCGACAATATTGGCATCCCCGAGGTACTTTCCAATGATACCGTCTCTTCCCAGATGATATTTACGGCGGCAGACCTCATGAATCAGATCTGCAAAGCTCCGGAGACATCTGAGGAGTCTATGTTGCTTCTACTTTGCTTCCGTTGCTTCGCAGTGCAGAAGAGTAGGCCCACATGAACGAACCAGCACAAGGCGGCTATGGCGCTTGAAGTTACCCCGCGTTATCCGTTACCCGCTCGAGGCGCGCTCGGGCCTTCGTCCTCAGCCTGAGCGCCCCTATTTCTCTTTAGCTACGCCGGTCAGTGATGTGCCGGTCGACGACTGGTCGACCAAAGTCAACAAAGTCGACAAGTCGTCGACTAGTCAACAAAGTCGACAAGTCGTCGACTAGTCGACAACAGTCCACGGTCGACCGTGAGAATAGTCGACCGGACTGATGCGTGGATGCCTGAGCCAATCGTTGACCAGGAAAAGATGTCCCTGGCCTGGCCCTGGCCAGTCTTCTCGGCTTTTGCCTTCGGGGGAAACCGCTGCATGTTGCTCAGAGCTGTTCGTATACCGTGGGACAGTCGACAACGCCGTGGGACAGTCGACAAGACTTACGGTCGACGCGCCGGACTGTCGACTAGTCGACAAGTCGACGGGTGGACTGCACGGACTAGTCGTCGACCGGCACAACACTGACGCCGGTACATCTACTTACGTCTTGCTTCCTGCGTCCGACTCGGTCGATCGCTTCTCGCCTGTTTGCGAGGCTGGAACACCAATGCTGGATGACGATCTTGTTCCTGTCCGTTTTCGTTACTCGAGCCGTTCACTCCGAAACGCCAATTCTCTTGGAGAGCCGTAGGATCCTGTATGATTCTTGACTGGGCTATATCAGCAGTGGCTTTCCCTATGTGGACAGTAGTATGACGCGTAGAAGCCCTGGCGATGCAGGTGGATACGTCGCGGTGTGGCTTGTAGACCTTTAAAGGCCCTTGGCCTCCTGCAAGAGGTAGAAGCATTTTGTGGCACCCTCGAAAAGTGTTTACGGAAGCTAAAGATCGTCTTGAATGGACTTCGCAGCATTACAGACTTTACTACAGTCATGAGTTGTATTTGCGTTTGTTAATGGTATTCCCAGATTGTTCACGTGCGTGTCATGATTTACATATGACCCCTAACCTTCACGAGATCATTCAGAAAGTCTACTGTGTCGTGTCTTCGGGACACCTTGCTGCCATATCGTGTGATAAAAGAACTCATTAATCGTTGTTCGGTACATGGCACGAAGCTACCCCTTGGCATTAACAATCCTGTAAGTACTGGCATCATTGTTACATGGCGGTCATGCTGAACAACCATTCAATGTAGTATGCTCATAAACCAAATTACGGGGCACAGTTGGCACCTCAGACTCAAGTTACACAGCTAGGCATTGCACACTCTTCATCTATTATAGTTGAGTCGAATATCGACACTGGAGAGAGAATGGGACGTATGTCAGTAACCAATCTCGGACATACTGTCATCGAAAAAGGCTTACTTCGGCGGGGGAATGGGAGCATAATGCCTCGGTTCGGGCTTTGCTTCACATACAATGGGCCTAGTCTCGCGAGCGGGTGGCGGCGGAGAATAACGTACGGGCTTAGATGGACAAGGTGTAGGGGGACGTGGACAAGGTTTAGGCGGTGGAGGACAACGTTCAGGCGGCGGAGGACAGGTCCTATATCTTGCACTGCCATGGTCCGATGGAGTGTAAGTCCTCCATCCGCAATCTGATGGTGCCGGGGATGGTGATTTGATGCATACTGGACTAGGTGTACACTTCCTGTATTCTGCACCTCCTTGGCCCGAGGGTTTCCACGGCCGCGGGCAGACCGGAGGGCATGGTGGTGGTTTAGGACTAACGCATGGTTGCATTCTGTTCCATACGGGCCTGCAAGGATCACACACCGCAGTGGGGGGTTTGGGCGGGACAGGACAAGGGGGTGAATATCTTCGGTACCCTACGACCTCTTGCTTTGTCTCACACCGAGGAGTGGAAGGGAAAGGAGGAGGGTCACAGCGACATATACCAGGGTATTTGCAAAGCAGTCATGGAGGACACACGCAAGTACATTTCTGGTGAACGACGCATCCTTTGGCATCTCTGGGAGTGAAGTTGATGTACTTATAAACCCGGTGACCATGTACCGGACATGTCCTTGATAAAGGGTGGACAGGTCGAGGTAATTACGGGCTCGTTTTTACAGCTTGGAACAGAGGGGCACTTGGGCGGCGGTAGCGGACTGGGCTGAGGATCGACCTTGTCACTTTGTGAAGAGACTGACGGGGTTCGGACGCTCGTCTTCCGGCTTTTCGGTGGATTCCAGTTGTTGAGGGTATTTTTATTCTCCCAGTTGGCCTGGGGCGGTGCATTCTGAATGTAAACCATATTTACGTTCCTTCCAGGCCATGGATCCTGGGGAGGCGGGTCGGTTTTCCGATTGACAGGGTCAGGGTTTGGCTCGGCTCTGTTATCTTCGACATTTCCGATCTCCGTCTTTCCGATGTCTACCTTCTCAACCGTCATTACCTTTGGGGGTTTCGGTGGAGGCGGGTCGATTGCTTTCCTCTTTCTAGAGAGCCTCCGACTTATGGGGAGGACCACGCATCCGAGGAGAAGTAGCGTTCCAAAGGCACTTGCGACAGAGATACCCGCTATCTCCCCTGCAGTGAGAGACCTATGGGTAGCAGATGCCGATGCCGAGGGTGTTGTAGATGTGTAGGGAGAGGATGATGTCCACGAAGGTCTAGTGCTGGTCGGGGACGGACAAGGAGGACCGATTCCTTTTCCGGTCGGCGTCGGACTCAAGACCGCCGAGGGCCCGCTAAGACACGCGGTATTGCTTGTCTCCTCGACAGTCATGAGCTGTGTAACAGCTCCCCTGTGACCTGCAGCATCCACCATTGTGAAAAGTACTGTGGTGGAGCCCGGGAGACTAGCTGTCCATTCGAAGGATGTAGATCCCATCGGTGGGGTTAAAGTGAATACTTGAGCCCCAGGGATCATACCCTGAGCCAGCTCTGTTAAGATACGTCTTACCGGAAAACCGGTGGTTGTAGGCTTACTATAATCGTTATCGGTTGGGATGTGCCATCATTGTAGCCAAAAAAATTGAACGGCCTATGAGCAAGTTTGAATGGGCACACTGACAAAACTTAGCTGGCGTTGTTGACGTACTGGCATTGCTGGATATAACTGTCCGTCTTGAAGTCAAAATTGGGTGTATCTGCCGTAGGATAGCAGGTGGTGCCGTCTACGTTAGCTCCAACGCTGATCACATCCGAGGTACCACCATCTGGAAACCCAGTGGCATCTTGTAGAATAAATAATAAGAGCGTCCCGGAAGGGTACGGGATGCGGGTTTCGTAAAATCCTTCACTGCCAGTGAATGCCGACGAGGGGAGCTGCTGAAGGGATTGAGCCCCATAGACCTATGCGCGCTCAAGGTTGAGCCGTTAATATGACATGGCAGAGGTTGCCTACCGTTATGAAGTTCAATACAAACGGCGGTTGTCCACCTGATAGAGTAGGTCGGAATGCGAGTCTGTGTTACTGAAGTGTGGCTTACCCGTCCAGGAGATGTTCATGATGTCGCATTCCGTAGGCGGGCTGTACGTGATGGTCACCGCTTCGCAGAATGGCGCACTGAAGATGATCCATAGGGTGACAGCGACTCCGAGGAAAATATTCATCCTTCCTAGCTTCGATGATGAGCCGTCCATCGTGAGTCTTGCAAGGACTCGCAGCCACAGTGGAAGAGGATCGTACGATCAGCTGAGATGAGGGAAGAATCCTCAAGTAGTGTGAAAGAAGGGGTGGCGCTCAGCACCCGCAGGTGTCTTTGCACACATAGGAGGTCCATGATATATACACCAGGCACGGAAATGGATAGACTGCTGTACTGATGCGCCATGTACAAGGCCTGGGAGTCCCCTGTGAGGTGGGCCATGCGCGGGTCCGTCAATCTTGGCTCTGAAGTCTTCCAAGTGATCGTGGACTGGAGAAAGGTAGGACGCGAGAGGACAAAGAACCGCAGCAATACAGAGGCATCTACCCGATGCTGAACTATACCAGACTCGGCCATTATGTGAAGTTTCCGCTGAGGAAGGAGGTGGCTTGGATGCATCCTCCCAGGAAGAAAGACAATCGGCAGATCGAATCTTCCAGGGGGGGGGGGCGTCAGCACGGGCCGATGACTTTGATCGAAGACTGCCACTGGCATGGATATTGCCTCGCAACGGCTTTATTTTCTGAATAACACATCTGGATAGACGCTGGTTTCGTCTTGAATAGGTCGGGAGGGCTGGTGAATCTGCCAAGCATGTATGGAATCCTAAATTCTGTATCAACAGCATCTGTAATCGTCTCAAAGCGGATAAATAATTCTGATGAGACCCACGAACCAGCGCTAGTGGCTCTCCCTTATTTGACTGAGCCAACCCCGGTTACCCCTACCTTCGTCATCCCCACATTGATTGTTCCTACATTGGTCGCGAGCACAACCTCGTTGCCTTCCAAATTCTCAAGGTCCCCAGGATGGGCGCCCAATCCAATGTAGCAATGTCTTGTGTCGCTCACATTGGAGAAGATCTCACCGTGAACCCGGGTTGTCAGCTCTACGGAGGATGGTATCCTTTCTGCATCCGTGCTGTCCATGAGCAAACAATTGGATGAATTTGTAGACCTGAATAAGTGCGGTGTTAGTGTGGCACTTTAGTTGGAAAGGTGCGTCGAACGATGAGCGCTGCTGGTCTTTAGATCAGCACGAACGCTCTGAGGCAGTAGTACAGGAATTATACGGACCATTTGGACTGTGATGGAGCCGACAGTCGACTTAGCCGTCATGATCGTGCGTATTGACACACCGACCGTCTCAGCGGAGCTCCTCCAGGGACGTATCCAGGCATCAGCGCTAACGCTCTAGGTGTCCGAACTCAAAGGGCACGTCGTTGTTGATGTGAGAGTAGTAGATACCATCGCGGGTAGGAGATTAAGCTCATACAATAGATCGATGACCTACATCCCCGAAATCGACCGAACGTTTTGGAGACGTAGAGGTACTTGCTGGGTCTCAGATAGAATGGGTATATCGCTACACGTAGCCCTGATTGTGGACAGTGGGGCGTAGGGCGGGGGCCTGTACCATTCATCTATACGTTTAAGGTCAGAACATAAGCGAACACGGGTTACTATCACGAACGTCCAGTGGCTCCTGAAGGACAGCGCTGATCTGTTTATCATCGGGGATAATTATGGAATACAACTCAATTGAATCGGTAGCATCTTCAAGTTGTAATAGAGATAGGTGAAACCGTCATGAGGACTCACCCTCGGGTACAACAAAAAGAAGCCGAGCGCAGGCAGTGTACAGTACTAGTCCGGCGGCGCAGCCTCCCTGACTGTAGCTCCGTGAAACTAGCTCAAGCGCGTACCACCGGTAGGTACAGTCTGAGAGTCCGCGATTATCTCACGAAGAGTAGGCTGCTTCATAGGTGTAAGGTGGGCGCCACCGAGTGGCGCCGAGTTTGGACGTGTTTGGTTACTGAGTGATAGATGGACGGATTGGGCAGGCGGATCGTTAGACAACAACTACCTCTGAATCTGCTTAGCTCAATTACCTATCTTGTATCTCTCGCAATAAGACGAGGTTCCGTTTATTGGTGTGTGTGTGATACAAGCTAACTGTACTGACTACGGAGATTCTACACTTTTTTAAACGCTCACCGCGTTCAAAAAACTACTGTTTGTTCGCGACTTATCGCATAGGTACACAGATACCATCTATTACTCAAAAAATCGAACAAAAACAATACTCTATGGATTCGAACTCATTCCCAGACCCGCCGACATTCATCGACGGCCGAGCGGCGCGATTACTGTTCCGCCCTGCATCGACCCCAGCACGATTCATGCCAGCAAGGCCGAATCGGCGAGGCGCATCCGGCGTTTGGCCAGCTAGCCGTATAGAGGAAGCTGCAGACCGAACCG